ACGTGACTTACCAATAAGATAAAAAGTAAAAAAAGTTATGTGGTGGTAGGTTTCTACACCTAGACAAATCACAAATGAGAACTGATTCCTAGACTAATAGGACAAACGAATATAAAGCCAAGGCGACTGTGGTTAGTAAAGCCCTTAAAATAATAATATCAGTTTAATGAATGAATAATTTAGGCGACTGTGGTTAGCAAAGCCCTGAAAATAATAATATCAATTTAATGAATGAATAATTTAGTCAAGGTTATTTTTGTCCAATTTTTTTTTAATCTCTCACTGTTTTGACGTTTAACATGCATAAGGAGGTAGTGTGTCAAGTCAATGACATTAGAGTGGTAGTTGACCAATACAACACCCCAAGTTCTGTCTGAATGTAGAAGATGAAAAGATTGAGGGTGCTTTGTGTAATTTGCCCACATATATATATATATATATATATATATATATATATATATATATATATTACACCCTCGATTGAATAAGTTAATCCTTTAATGTTTATGTTGTCTCTATTCATGTCTAATTTGCTAAATATATATAGAGAGCAATACTTAGGTCCTCACTAGTGAGGATCTACACCATCCTCACTAGTAGTGTGACCCAATAATAAATAGACGTGCCATCATAGAGATGGTTATTTATTATGATGAGTAAATACACGCTTACCAAATCACATAGATGGTGATTTATTATTGGTTTATATCACTAATGAGGATGGTATAGATCCTCACTAGTGAGGACCTAAGTATCATTAATATAAGTAGGGATAATTTCACTGACACCCCCAGTAGTTTGGTCAAATATCAATTTAAAACATTTTTTGAAAATAACTATCACTCACATTACAAACATCCTTTTTTCACTCACACCCCAAAAGTTAGTTGACAGGTGTGTCAGACCACTTTTTACATGTAAAAAGACATTCTTACCCTTTGACTTTGGTTTGACCTAATAAATTATTTCTTTAATGATTAAAATTACATGTTTACATTGACTATTCAAATGACATGTTTACCCTTCCTTTTCCATATACAAGAATAAATAAAGTAGGTGATCAACATCATACAGTTTGTTATTGAGGGCTATTATACGCCATACAGGTGTAAGGTTTTATATTTTTTTAAGGAAATTAATGAAATTTTAAGTAAGAAAATTTTATTTTTTTTAAGGAAATTAATGAAATTTAAAAAGAGAAAGAGAAAAATAAAAATAAAAAATTTAAAAACTAAAATAAGAAAAATCACTCATTCATATATTTTTTTAAGGAAATTAATGAAATTTTAAGTAAGAAAATTTTATTTTTGTAAGGAAATTAATGAAATTTAAAAAGAGAGAGAGAAAAATAAAAAAAAATTAAAAAACTAAAATAAGAAAAATCACCCATTAATATATTTTTTTAATAAGAAAATTTTATTTTTTTAAGAAATTAATGAAATTTAAAAAGAGAAAGAGAAAAATAAGAAAATTTTTATAAGTGTCCGGTTCTACGATCAATCACCCATTCGTATATTCCATCATTTCATATATATATATATATATATATAGGCTTGTCCTCATATTTTTTGGACAACAAAAACTCCTTCTTTTTATTGTTTAGCATGTGAATTGAAGTCTATTTCTATCATTTTATATATATATATATATATATATATATATATATATATATATATATATATATATTCTTCATCTGTCTAATTCATCTTCGTATCTCTCTCTCTCTCGATCATACACAACATATACACTTTCTGTACATAACTTATTGGTGCCATAAACCATAAACTCCAATACTAAATTCCCAAATCAATCTGTAAATACCCTGATTAATAAATTGAAAGAAATAATTAATGGGGTTGGTTTCCCCAAAATTGATTAATTACCCAAAAAAAAAAAAAAATTATAATAATAATACAAAAATTCATATACAATAAACCATATGTAATCAGCTCTCGCCGGAGGTGAAGCACAATGCGTCCGCAGGCCAGGTTCGGGAAAAAGTGGGTGACGATTGCCAGAATTTCAACAACGATTGCGTGGATCAAGAATTACTGGAACTCTACAAATTAAATTATTCCTTATACAGCTTTATTATTTCTTATATATATATATATATATATACACACACACACACACACACATCGTGTCCTCTCCTCCCTCATACCACCATGCCGCTAAGCTCCATAAAGACCGGCGATATGTTCTGCATCAATGCTTACAAAAGAAAGAAAACCAAAGCAGAGTCTTTAGACTTTAGCCAGAAACTCTCTCTCTCTCTCTCTCTAATGATGGTGTTAGCGAGTCCGAGCTAATCAATCAACCGTTTGATTTACAATCCTGTTCGATTCATGTCTTTTTCAACTGATAATGGAGATCAATCGAAAAAACCCATTTCCAAATCAAGGTTTGAAAATCTCATCCGTCAATACACACTACCTTTAATTGATACCATGCGTGGTCTCAATCTCAGAAACCGACCACCCAAGTCCACATTTTAAGCCCCCCAACTACCTCCGCTGCTGGTAGTACCACCGCAAGTGGCTGCGCCGGCAAGTTTAACCACCACCACCACCAGCAAGGCAACCTAACAATCAATTCCATTTTATCGAATTCTAATTACACCAATTCAGTGTCAATGGCCGAACCTCTTCTTCCTTATTGACTCCCCACAATTGACCTTCTTGAGCCACCCATAGATCCTCACCTCAAATCCGTTGATTTTGTGGAAAATCTAGCTGACCTCTATCGCCTTCTTGTGGGTTGTCCTGTATCCAGTAAATCATTGATGTGCCTTAAGCAGTACTCGAACTTGTGCAGCCATGGTGATCCAAAGCTGCTACGGTTAATCTTTGTGCTTTAGGGTTTCGTGGTTTTGTTAATCTGTGGGTCGCATGTATAGAGAAGAGAGATAGTGGTTTTGATCTGTAGAGAAGAGAGAGAGACAGACAAGCGTCCTTGAGGAGAGAGAACGTCCGATACAGATAGAGATATAAGGGGTATAAAAGTCATTTACCTTATTTGATATTTTGTATTAAATGTGATTAAAAAATTAGGGGCAAATATGTCTTTTCCCATATTTTTAACGGAGACAGTAACGAAAAAGTGAAAATGGACCTAAGTGATAGTTATTTTCGAAAGATATTTTAAACTGATATTTGGCTAAACTACTGGGGGTGTCAGTGAAATTGTCCCATATAAGTATCATTAATATATATATATATTCAACTCGCAGAGAAACAAAATTAAAAAAATTTACTAATTAGTCTTACTTTTAAATTTTATATAAATAAACAAGTCCTTTAGAATGTTCACTAAGACAATGAAGTTCTGCTTCTGAAAAGGGTCAAGTGCATAACACCCCTAAAGTATGTTGTCGTGCATATCATACTCTTTATGTATAAAAAACATTTTTAAAATTTTAAATTGGTATAAATAGGTTACTCTGACAAATTTAAACTCTAAGTTGATTAAATCATTATTGAATCATTTTATAAAATATATAAAAATAAATAATATTTTAAAATGACCAAAAATGACATTATTGGAAGACGCCACCTCACGTGCAAAAAACACCTCTAAAGTTTCAATTTTGTATAAATAAATCCCTCTAACAAATTTAAACCATAAGTTGACTAAATTACCCTTACTTAATCATTTTATAAAATATATAAAAATAAATAATTTTGTAAAATGACCGAAAATGACATTATTGGAGGACGCTGGCAATGTACAAGTAAAGATAAAAATAAAAAATAAAAGTATAAAAGAAAAGTAAAGATAAAAATAGAAAATAAAAAACGAAAATAAGGTGCAAAATAAAGAAAATAAATCTGCTCCAAACTCCGAAAACCAGTGCACACTAATATTGGGTTTCATTTTTTTTTTATTTTTATTTTTTTTTATTTTTTTTTTAACACTGTTGGTACATAAAAAATAAAAATTAAAATTAATAAAGAAAAAAAAAATTGTAGAAAAAAACAAACTGAAATCTCAAAAAATTCAAATTCTTATTTTACAAATTCTCAAAGTTTCAAAAAAAAAAATTTACAGATAGTTATAGAAAAAATGGTTTCAAAAAATATATATATAAGGTAATGTGTACATAACACTCCTATACTATGATATTACTAGCATATATATATCCTCCTTTGGGCATTTTTGGAAGAGTAAAAGGACAAAATGAGTATTACAATACTAATTTGTGTCAGAATTCTTATTGAGGGATATTTTTGCACAATGTGAAAAAATTAAGTGTAATTTTTGGACACTTTTTCAAATAGAGGGTAAAAGTACTAAGCGGAATATAGTTTAACTGTATTTTTTACAGTTGTCCCTTCTCGAATTTTTTTTAAAATAAGTTCAAATTCTATAAATAATGAACCTTTTTCCGAAGGCATCAAAGTACTTCTTGATTCTACAATTTCTAGTTTTCTACTTCAAATTGGAGACTGAGTTGGTGTCCTATATATTGTAATTGGGTGCCTCACAGTTTGAGTTAATGGGCTATTAAACATCAGATAGGTGAGTCGACTCAGTTACATGGCCCCTATGGTTACTTGATTCCCTGAACAAAGATTGTATTGATCCTTGTTCTGTTTTAATGGCATTTAGCTTTTTGAAAAAATAAGATAAAAAAATACAAATTTTATTCTCTACTTCTAATATTTTGTAAGGAATATTTAGGGGGAAAAAAATACTGTACTATTTTTTTTTTTTTTTACTATAATTAGAAATCCTAAAAATATTTAACTCGTTATTTTAAATTCACTTTTCATAATAAACTGCTCACACCTTCAAACAGAAGGAATACTTGTCATGCATTAGATTTATGAATAATAAATTAAGTATTTTCATTATTTTGAATTTTCTACTCTGTACTTAAATTTCTATAAATTTGAGACTGTGTTATATGGAATACAATGTGACTTATCTTATTATATCGAATATAATGTGACTTTGAAATAAAGGATACTCCAACATTATGTTCAAATAGTGCAAAATTGTATACAAAAGAATACTGTCCTGTAACTTATTTGTAGCAACCCACAGTCACCTCTAGGCAAGAGATGCTTCCTTACAGCCTTTCCTTTCAACAAGATAATTTACTAGATACAAACACAAGCAAACTTCAGTTCCCAAACAATCTTCATTACCTGATTGTAACTAAAAACGAAAGAAACCCAATCAAACCTCAGTTTCCCAAACAAGCTTCAGACATTTTTTTTTTTTTTCTTTTTTTTCGAGCTAATCTTCAGACTTCAAGGCTTGATTGTAAAGAATACCCATGAATCAAAGGGCCAAACAAATGATCTCAAACCAGTGAAAAACATAAAATTAATCAATCTTTGAAACAAAGGCACTTAAGCAGCCTGGTCCAGAAACTGACCACCTCTTTTGCATCAGGTGGGTCTATAGGTTCCTTAAATTTCGCCTTCTCACTAAGCTCTTCAAATGAGTTCACAAGATTTTGAAGCCTTGCAACAAACTCAATCAACAGGGAAGTAAATGTAGCTAATGATAAAGCACTTGCACTTTCAAATGTCCTTACTTCGCGTTCATTGAGAATGGTATCACCAAGAATCGAGAGACGTGAAGGCCATTGTATCTGATTCTTCAACATATCTTCTGAGGAACCTAGTTGTGAAAGGGAGGGATTGATGCTCATGCTTGGATTCTGCGGGTCCAAGATTCTTAATGTGTGAGCTGATCTTAGGTTGAGGGATAATTCACTGAGAGAGTGTATCACCATTGGTTTCTTTTCATTATCCTTCACCTCTTGAAAATTATCGGGATCGTCAAATTCATTAGGCTGTTTTCCATTTTCCCAGGTAGCAGAGTTGACCAGACGGTATGAGTTTTGGTCTATCTTCATTTGCAACTTTTCTGCAGCCTCATGCACCTCGTCGAGCAGGTCTACAGGGCTTAATTTCTCCATCTTTTCTACTTTGTTGCCAAGGTCACGCAACACTTTAGCTCCTTCAGTGCCAACCCTCTGAAGTTCGCTCTGGAAAACTAATCTTAATTCAGGTGCTGCCTACACGAAAGAAAATATTCAACCGGATTATATACAACTGGTTTATGCAAAAGTTACTGCAAGCTTCCGAATATTACAATGCGCGTTCCCCATTGAAACAGTACTTGCAATCGCACAACTATCTGGCATTAAAACTGCTGCTGCATTATTCTACTATGTAAATGTGGATTGAGGCAAAAGCCAATTGTTCAACTAAAAACATAGAATACAAATCATTTTTGTTTAAAACCTACAGAATTCCGTACATACATTTCTATTAGATTTCACACCTTTGATCCCAAATTTACATTACGTATCAAAGGATTGTCCAAGCAAGAAATGATTTTTTGCTTTGCAAAGAGTCCATGACTGATGGATGGGCTAGGCATAGACCCGAACCACTAATTGACAAATATAACTCAACACAGGCTAAAACATAAAATTTATAACGGAAAAAGGATGTCAAGATTGCCGTGAACAAAGTTCAATAACTTAATGTTTTTGCCATGATTAGTTTAAAACCACACACACATACACAAATAAAAAAACTGCAACTCTAGTTTGTTTAGGCGAGTAGAACTAATTTTAAATTTTTTATTTTCCTCTCTATCGGAACGACTCTTTAATAACCATAATGCAAAAGAAAGAATGTGATAGGGCTGATGAAAGTTGATGGAAATTATAAGATATTTATGAAATTGAGGAAGTAGAGGTGCAGCCCCTGGGCTTTGGCTCAGGTGGTATTTGGATGGGGGGTTGGGAAAGGTCTTAGTTATCCTGCCTGGTACAAACCCTAAAAAAGAAAAAGCTAAAATAAAATAAAATAAACGTGGTTGCATGTGTGAGATAACTATTAGAGCTACTATCAGGAGGGGAGAGATTGTAGTAAATTGCAATAGTTACTTAAGTGAAAGTTTAAAAAGATTTGAGAGATAAGAGCTACTTTCAAAAAGAACAAGGAGTTCTCCAGAACTATAATCAGAGAAACAAAATGGCAAGAAACACTGAAACTAATGGGAAGGAACCAATTTATATTGTTGTTTTCTAAGTGAAAAGCCAAACTACTAAAGCAAAAAAAAAAAAAAAAAAAAAAAAAAAAAAAAAAAAAAAAAAACTTTTTCATTGTTAGACAGCACACTGCATATTGAGACTCAGCAAAAATTTTGGGTTATTTCTCTACCCCTTGTCATATTTTATAATTACTCGTACCGCTTACAAATAATTAAGTTACCAAATGATCGGGGAAAAAAAGGAATAAATACATTATAATAAGGTCATCTGAGTTACTACAACATATGCATCAAAAGCGACTTATCCGCAATTATGCACACATTGTCCACCAATATAAAATTTTGAAGGAACACGCCAGCTCTGTCAAACAATAAGTGACAATAAGAAACACTACAATAGGGGCTTGAGGTTGATAAGCTTAAACTACTAATGCAGTGGCATAAGAACATGGGAAATGCTGCTGTATTAAACTCATGGAAAGCCTAGAAAGTAGAAACAGAAAGATAATATTTCACCTGGATTTCCGAAAGTATGCACCCATGCATTGCCATGACCATGAATGCACAATGCCTTAACGCACCACTCAATTTGACATATCCACTCCAAGGATAATTGAACATTTTGTACCGGCCATGAGGTGGTTCCCAAATAGCAAAGCTTAACTGCATAAACAAGAGTAAGGCGAAACTAGTATTGCCTTCTTTCTTTAGAATGTGTTCTGTTAAATATACACGAAGCATGCGCTAGAAAAAAAATAATAATAAGCATACCAGAGAATCCTCTTGGCTTGTAGACTCCACAGCAGATCTGTATCCATTATACATTGGGTCATCAGAAGCCTGGTAAGTAAGAATTTTTGAAGGTATTCTCTCGTATGCAACGCATTGCAAATACCCATTAACAACACCTATACAAAGGCTCAGAGGAAATAAATTGATAGTAAGCAGAAAATGAAAAAGAAACTGTGAAAACATAAGAAAGCTAGAAGAGGAAAAAAAAAAAAAAAAAACTTTTAATCTAACCTTCCAAAGAAGTAGCAACCCCATCGAAATTTTTCACCACCAATTTGTGCAAATCCTCACCAGCCCAAATGGGATAAACACAAATATTTACAACCAAACAAACACCAGCCCCGACTGCAATTAGCAACAGTCGAGATACAGCTGTTTGAACAAAACTTGTAGTCCCCGAAACAAGTACTATACAATACGTCAATAAAAACACCCTGAACCCATATTCATATTGCTTCATCGCAGGGTACAATTTCAAATAGCTCGCACAAAATCCTAAAAATGACAGAAAGAACATAAGGAAGAGAAAGAGATCATGTTATAGGAAGGAAATTTTGTACATAACATATTAAAAAAATGACATCTACAAGTACCTATAGATGCACCGATGAGGAGAGGAAGATTGATATGCACAGAGAGCAAGACAAAGTGGTCAACCAAAACTAATATAATATAGAATGAAGTGATAAGAAGTGACTTCAAAACAATAAAACTAGAGTATATGACTGAAATGTACATTGAAAGAAATGATAAAAAAAAAAAAATGACTTTTAAAAAATAAAGCTAGTAGAGTATATGATGACTTTGTGCCGACCCCTTTTGTACCGGATAAATTCAATGATGATGATGATATAAAGATATCTAAATTAATTAGGACCTGCAAGGAATACGCTGATCACAATAAAAACTTCTTGAAATTCTCCAGCCAACAGAGATAGTTCTGCTATGCCAAGAGCAAGCGCTCCAGCTGATAATGTCCCCAAAGCACGATTGAATCCTTTGTTAAGAGTTGCTCCTGAAGAATCAAAATCCAACAACTAATTTCACAGAATGCAAATAATTCAATTCATCTCTAACCTTATAATCGAGCAATAACCACTAAAGAACAACTAATAACCGATTAATCTACAAACCCGGGTCATAATTTCATGATTTAAACAACAAAAATAAGCTCACCCAAGAAACTGAATAAAAAGTAAGCGGGTCATCATTCAGTTAATCAATTCAAATGGATCTGAGAACATACATACCTATGCTGAATTCAAATACTACAACGACAGTGAGGATTGCCCAGACTGAGGATGTTCCCATATAGCTAAGTGGTTCTTTCAAGAATATGAGGATGGATACGAATGCGAGGGAGAGACCCATTTTGGCAGCGAAAATGAGGTTTCGAGGATCGGAGCGACCCATTTCCCATGCCTTGATTGCAAATTCTTGCACATGTCTCCAGAAATCTCTGAATTTATCGCCCAATGATCGAAAACTCCTAAAGCGAACACCCTCATCGCGACTGTACGATCCGCCTCTCGATAGCAATCTTTCTTTGCTCCTCTCTACAAAACTATGCCTGAGTGATCCAAGATTTGCTGCCATTATTGAATTGGATCTTCTTTAGTACCTCTTTTTTTTTTTTTTTTTTTTTAAAGTAGTAGTAGAATTGTGCATTCATAAAGAACAACACTCCAGAAAAATAAATACCACTACTTTTTGGCCGTGTGTGTGTGTGTATATATATATATATATAATTAAGTATAGAGAGATGAACGTGACGAAGTGAATGTAGTCGTGATTTGAGAACAGTTGATTAATTAATTAAAAGCATGAATGGCGGTTGGAAGGTCCGAGAGATGGCTTCGTTGGACGGTGGGATACGTGGGGGCACTGCGTTCACAAGTCAAGCTGCTCAAACTTAACCTCAGTCTCTACTCCATTGAAAATTTGTATAAATATGTAAGAAACAGAAAATATCGGTCAAAATTTGCTAGGTGAATTTTGTCTTTTTCTTTAATGCACGAAGCAAGAACAAATACGACAATAAATATTTCATAAATAAAACAGTAAAACAACACTATAACTAAGTTGTATGGCTGACTATAGAGAGGTAGGTAAAATTATGGAACTTAAAATAAAAATTATGTGAAATATTGACAAATTTCAAATGAGATAAGTAAAATTTATCTTCTCTTTTTTACTGTACCTAATTTATCAGCAATCTAACAGGTAGATTTTGGATTTGAATTCTTTTAAAGTGATTCTTATTGTTGAGTTTTGTTCCTTTCATTATATAAATTATGAGATGCAATCCGACACCGTCATGGTAAATCAATACCGACTTTTTTTTCCCTACAAGTTGAATTTAAGCTTATAAAATGTTTGTATAAAAAATACTATCCAATTTAAATAATAATTTACAAAAACATTTTTTTATAGAAAAATACTGAAATTATTGTTTCAATTTGTAACTGATATAGGTTAATTAATATTTAGTAAATATTGCCCTTTTGTTTTTTTCCACTTCCTGACAAAGAGAACATATTACTTAATATTAAACAAGAGCATTACAAGCAACAAAAACCTCCAATATGATAGAGACCAATATCATGGGTTATATTGGTGCATCACCAAAGGGGTTTTTTTAAAGCAGATACAACCACTTGAGCATCATATTCAATTTCCACAGCCCATTGAAGACCACTGCTGAAGAAGGTTCATAGTCCAAAACAATGTTTTCACCTCCAGTACCGATGCCTCACATACACGCTCCAACCGAGCAATGGCTGCCCGAATTACCACGCCATTGTTATATATATATATATATATATATATATATATATATATATATATTAATAATTCACTTATTGCATACGAAAGAGAAAAGGATAAAATCCACCCAGTTTAGAAGTTGACACTTATTTAGATAAGAATCAGAACAGATGAACCGATCCTCATGGATTACCTAAGTTGGCATAAAGTCAAAAGTCTTGGCTCCACTTGAAAGAAACATGATTGAGGTGGTATTTTTTTATTTTATTTTTTATTTATTTTTTTTTTTTTTGAATAATTACAAAAGAGGGCTTTTTGGCCCAACCAAAAGAAGAGAACAAAAGCCGAATAAATTGGCCCAACAAGGGAGAGGCCTAGCTTCAGCCTAATAACCGCAATTAACGGCTTGTTTGGCCGTTAATTGAGGGTATTAGGGAACAATCCGGTAAGTAGCCCTAGAGAAAATAATGATCATCGGAGATATAGTCAATCCAGCAGCCCTGGGGAGGACGGCAGCAAGCAAGGGGGAGATTCCAATCTGAGAGAATCTTCCTCGAAGCATTTGTAAGAAACCCAATTTGAGTGTTGCGGTGATAGCTGCTGAGATTTGAGCAAGCACCATTCTTTGAAATGATCTCTTACCTCTAAAAATTCTTTCATTTCTTTCCTCCCAGGTGTGATAAACCATGATTGAGTGTTCTATTCATAGCATTATTGACTTGTTCATCGTCACAAATTTTTTTGGTTGAAATATCAAATTCAATTAGCATACTGACTGAAAGCACCTATTGAAGGGTAGTATATCCTCCCCATCAAAGGAAAGGGATTTAAGACCGGGTGCGGGAACAAAGCGAAAATCGAGACCGGGTGCTCCGGGTGTGAGCGCAAAAAAGCAAGCATGTGTGCACCGAGTGTGGGCGCGAGCAAAAAAGCATGTGTGCAAGCCGGTGAGCATGTGTTTCTTGCCATTAAAAAAATAAAATAAAAAATTTGAAAAATGAACTAACCTTGTATTTTCCAGCCTCGCATGAAAATAACCTTGTAGATGCATTATGTATATTTCATGACAGGAAATATTTGTATTTGTCTAACCACGGCATTAGATTAAACACACAAGTTCTCTGAGACATTAGTTAATATATCTCGGTTTTCTTAGGAAATTCCACATCAAGAAATTGACTAGTTTTTAAACATAATCAAAAGGAACATACCATCAATCTTAATTCAAAAATGTCATCAGAACAAGGATCAAAGCTTGTGCATATATAATGGTTCAAATTAACTCCATATAAAAAAGGCCATAGATGTTCAATACTAGGATGGGCTAGTATTACTTGATCATTTTTTCTCTTCCTTCTCGGCCTCCGCAGCCTTCTTCATCCTGACACCAACATGGCGTTGGTTCATCCGCTCCACGCGCAATTTATCATAGGCCTTGAATGACTTCATCTCGTTTGTGACCTTAACAAGCTCCACAGTAGGCTTCTCACGCACGATCGGCATGTAAGGACCTTGGACTTGAGTAGCTGTTGCCAATTCCTCAGGAGCAGAATCACCAGCCTGCAGAAAGAAGTAAGTGTAATCAGGAGATTTCCAAGGACGTTAAAATGGATAGCCAGTGTTTTTTGACTAAAGAACCTCACAACCAGCTTAAACTACCTTGAATTTGCGAGCACGGCGTGGGAAGACAACCAACTTGGCCTTGTATGTCTTCAGCCTCTGAACATTAGTCTGCAGACTCTCTAGGGAACGGTTCCTGCGGCGATGATCAACAGATATGCCAATAGTTGGGGCCAATTTTTTTGGAATGCCTGCTGCCTGGTTCATAAAAAGCATACGGGTTAAACCGTCATACAAAATGCAAAAAAGAAATATAATTCTCAAGACATACACTATCGTTTTTACCTTGGTAATAAACCCACAAACCCTCCCACTCCCCACTTTGCCCCTATGGGGACTTGAATCCTCGACCTTCTACTTTGGAAGGCAAGGAAGTATCACTAGGCTACAGCCCTAGATGGTGAGACACTATTTATCATATCTAAAACCAAATCTTATCCCAAGCTACAGTTATAAGAATAAAAATCAGAAATGCAATTTGACACGGCCAAGAAACCATTAGAAAATCTCTAATAATACAAAATTGAACAATCACCTGCAATAGTTCTACAAACACTCAATCATAAAATGAAAGCCCATTTGCATGTCATAGACGTTAAATGTTAAAGAACCCAGGCACAATAACAAAGAAAGAGGGAAAGCAAAAAATTCTAAAGATGGAACCATTTCTAAAACTTTTTCTTTCTTTTTTTCTATAAAGAGGAAAAGCCCATTTCTTCCCCCATTCTTTCCGAGATCCGGACATTATGAATTTATAAACAAGAAACACAGAAGCTGAGCTAAGCCAGATAATCGTAAAATAACAATAGACCTTGAGCTCCTCAAGGGAAAATCCCCTCCCAGCTCTGACTTTCATATTATACTTCAATGTCTGCCCATGAACAATGGGACGAAGTGCTCCAGCAGTAGGTCGAGGAAAAATCTTCACGGCCTTCTTTTGTCTAGCTGGAAATGGATTCAAAAGGAAATTATTTCAACAAACAGTAAAGTGTTTAAAATGGATAGTCACCATGCACAGAGGAGCTAGATCAAAATCATTTGGAGGTTGGGCAACTACGTACCAGTTCTTCTTCTGGCTTTGCGAGCCGGTTGGTTAAACCAGGTCTTCACATAGTTCTGCCAGTGCTTCTTAAAGTGCCCATTGGGTATAACATTGTTATGCTTCATGGTTCAGGTACACAAATCCTATAAAAAGTGAGAAACATTGCTCCAATAAGCAATGGTCAAAGTAATTTAACTACATAATGTGATACAACTGGGAAAAAAATAAACTGCTGACAACAGGCTTAAAATCTGAAGGAGGATCACAAAATTATAGAATTACTGGTTATACTTTGTTTTCATATATGAGATTACAACTAACCAATTACCATGTAACAGCGCAACTTTTCATTATGTGTGTGCGCACGATAGAACCAAAAAGTAGAAAACAAGATCCCTCCATGAAACACTACATATAATTGGTCATTTATTATCCACTATATTTTCACCACAGCTCCGCCAAGAAAAATATATTACATTTCCTCAAGGCTTCATTGGTTAGTTGATTTGGCAAGCAAAAAAAGAAAAGACAATGAAAAAGGTACCCTTTTCTGTTGGCTATCATGAAAAAAAAATAAAAAAAAAACAAACAAACAAGCAAAACAAAGGGAAGACGGAAAACATGAGGCAAAGTGAGGAACACATAATTAATTGAACATGTCATTCCCTTTTTCTTCTCCCATAAATTATAGTTCTGAATCTCATACAATCATGAGAGAGAACATGAACTGAATTCACACTGAAAGCTCCGCATAGTAGATGAAATATTCTTCATAAACAAAAAGAGGTTAAAAAATCCAGATTCAACAACAAGAGAACGCATGTGAATACAAATGAAGATAAAAATCACTCTGTTCGGCCATTCCTAGTACTCTCTGCTTTAAAGAAAACCAATCCAAATAATATAAACAAAAATTAACCGATATAGCAATGAAAAATGATAGCACAGGTAAGACCGTGTTATTTCATGAAATGCAACATACAATAAAATAAAATAAAAAACCCTGTTCCAACGCTCAAAACTATAAATAAACTCACTTCAAATGCAATTAAACAAAATATGATTATTTCAATTTTGCATAGTAAAACTTGAAAGAAACATAAAATCATCTTTTTGTATCATAAATCACGTTCAGTTACACAAATTCATAGATTATAATCATTACAAATGGAGTAACAAGAAAGAAAAAAGTTGAAAACAAATAATTACAGCCATAAAGAATAAGGAAAATAATAAAGAGAGGGCAACTAGACATTGAAAACTTGTTTTTTGCTTCTACAAGTCCTTGTTTTTCTTTTAGAACTACAACAATATAATCTTAGGTTAAAACATCTTATTCAGCTAAAGAGTTGATGCGTTTCTTCGGTTTCAAGCACATAAAATTTCTGAAATTGACAAAAAAACTACCAAACCTAGGAGATCTTGAATAACAAATCAATATTATAAAATCTATAGCCATTTGGCTGGTAAGAGAAATTAATATGAACAAGATAAACCGAGATAACATCGAAACGAGCAAAAGGAGAGAGATTTCAATGTTTGTTTTCCCTGCATTTCTTGGAAAACAAACAGAGATGTTTCGTGGAACAAGCCAACCTTAGGGTTATTGAACTCTATAAAGCAGGAACACGAAACAACAGATCGACACACGTAGAACTTACAGTGCCGGATAGAAGTGAGAGCCGCTGAAGAGTCTCCAACTCTAATCTTTGTGATACGGCGTCTCTGATTTTGTAAGCAGCATATAAGAAACCCTAGGTTTTTGAAAACCGGATTGGACCGGATCAGAGCCCAATAGAACTATTTCAGTTGGGCTATGCTCTTTGCCCGTACTATCCAGCCCAACGTTCATTAGTTTGCCCTCTTTTTTATTTTATGTTTTTTCTTTCCCTTTCTCTGTTACGAGTAGGGTGGAGGCTGTTCAAAAAAATCCGATAACCGAAAAATCGGATCGAATTGGACCGAATTGGGTAGTTTGAACTATTTGTATAGTAGTTTGATCGGTGAGCTAAAAATTATGAAATTGTAATTTTTGGGGTCCTATTGGACCGGATCGACTCGGACCAAACTTTTATATATATATATATATATATATATATATATATATATATATATATATATTTCAACTTCATAGTGATTAGTTAACTAAATTTATATAATTTTAGCCATGACAAGAAATAATTATGATAATTAGGGACTTCAAGCATTAGCTATTTCATACTTGATCTCTCTTATTTTTTGAAATTTTGAGTTAATTTTTTTTTTCTTTTCCCAACAAATGGTAAACAGGGAATACTGTATTTTTTTCCTTGTGGTCATCTGGTCACTGTTTGTTTGTTTGTTTCTTCAACAGGTGTCTGATATTATTGACACTGCATATGTGATTGTCATCTGGTCACTGTTGATTCTCTGTTGTATTATATACAGGAGAAAATAAGAGATTTTGTTTTTTTTTTTAAATAAAATAAAATAGAAATAAACTTAAATTGAAAAACCGAACCAAACAAAACCGGTTTTTCGCGATTTGGTTTAGTTTGGTTCTATGGATATTACGAAGTCTGGTTTTAAAAATAATGGGAATCGTTATAAATGGTTTGGTTCCAAAAAACCTTTAATTCGATCAAAACCGAACCGTGTGCACCCCTATGGTGGACATGGCCATGTTTGATTTAAATAATCAAATCGATTTTAACAATTTTTTTAAAAAAAATTATATCTAAACCAAGCTAAACAAAATAGAATTGAATTGATCTGGTTTTACATATTAAACTTAACTTTAAAAAATAATGATGCCGTCTACTAATAATTATGTTTAAGCATAAACCAATTTCCAATAGTGAATTTCAAGCGATCTTAAAATATTCTCATAAAAAATATACATGTGCGTGCATGAGAGTCTGAGAGATACCATAAATTGGTTCACATTGATTTGTTTTTTAATTTTTTTTTAAATATTAACAATCAAGGAATGACACAATTCTTTTCTAGAAATGTCTATTTCTTTCTCACTCAATGAAAGTATTAATATCATATCATTGTTTACACTCAAAAGTGTCAAGTTGTTATTTGCTAAAATTAAGTCACTTTTACTTTTGTAAATAATTGAAAGAAAAAAAAAAATCAAAGATTAATACTTCTTAAAGATAGTTGTTCTTTAATTAGTATGAAAATTTTAAGTAGGCTAGTGGTATCTTATGAACATCCAAATTCAAAACTTGGTTCAAAAGTATAATTAGAGCATATATATATATATATATATATATTATTAATAAGAAATATATTCCCACATTTACTTTTTTTTCGAATGGAGAATTAAAGTGGACAATAGACTCTGAAAAACGAAAAAGTACTACTAATAGATATACGAGATTTTCAAGAGAGAAAATGAAATACTACTAATATTCCTTTCCTTTATAAAAGTGTGTGTGTGTGTATATATATATATATATTTTTTTTTGTAAAACCATTTACATTTAAATAAATAGTATTACTTTCGTCTTTTTTAATTGTCGCCTCGTTTTTTTATACTAGACGGATAATTAAAAAGGAACGAAGGAAGCATGCCTTTTACAGAGCCAACTGCTCTAAAGACTAATGAGTTCTATTTTTTATTATTTTTTAATCTTCTAAATATCTATGAGAAAATATATCCCTCAAATGTCTATTATCGTTCTCGTCTTACTTTCTTGGAGTTGCATCTAATTGAACACAGAAAAAAAGAATGTGTGTGTGAAGGTCGATGTTTTGAATCTTTCGATGTCTACACACAAGATTAGAAGACTATACTGAGCGGTCTACTTTTTCCATTTCGATTTTACAGTAGATTTCGGTAAGTACATCTCCAAGTCTTGCCTATATTAGAATATGCATCTGCGGGAAGAATTTTTATTTATTTTTTACTAACTTTATTAGTAGCCATTGCACTTCCGTCTGGTTTCAAGATATTAGGGTTAAAAAAAATTGGAGCTCCGCTTGTCTTGAATCTCTTATGTATTGGGTTTGAATTTTTATTTATTTACAATCCATCCGTTTGGTTGCCGAGAAAATTGAGAAGTAATAAAGAAAAGAACCAAAGTCCTGAAACCTTACGGTTTATGTTGTTTTTAGTTTTCAAATTTTTTAATTTATTTTTCTCCCTTAGGAGCTGCATTAAGCTCAATTGAGCAGAGGATTCTGTTTTTACGGTCTCCAAATATGGGGAATTTTTTTTTCCATTGATCAAATTTAAAAGGTTTACTTTATTTTCATATATTTTCATAGTTAGTAGCTAAATAAATTATAATTTAGTTAATTGTGTTTCACAGTTTGCTTATTTGTTGGTCATGTACAGTCTTAAGAAGTTCACTCACAATCTTCTATTTTTCAATTGGGCACATCACATGAGAAAAGTATGGCTGTATAAAAATGATAGTTTCTTTCAAAATTCAAGTGCCAAGTTAAAATTATAATTCCAAGTATTTTCTCTATTGCAGCATCATAAGAGTTACATACAATACCATGACTGTGATGATAAAGATGCAATTCAAGTTTTATATTAAATCATCTTCAGTTTCATCTGTTCATGGCGTCCCTTCCCTTTTCCCCGTTTGTCTCCAATCTGTCGATGGTTGCGTAAAATGGAGGAAAGTAAATTTATCATGTCATCCAATGCAGCACAACAGAGTTGAAGAATTTGGTGTTGTTAAGAGATTTTCAGATACCATTAAGAACTCAATTCCTAGGTGTCAATGTGGTTCTAGTGGTGGAAAGGAACTATCTTGTGAGTTATATAATGATTCTATAGCTGAGCTATGCGGAGCAGGGGATATCGATAAGGCTATGGCGTTTCTTGCTCAAATGGAGGCTCTGGGCTTTCGTCCGAATTTAATAGCTTACACCTGTTTGATAACAGCTCTTGGAAGTGTTGGGAGGACTCTGGAAGCTGATGCAATCTTCCAAGAAATGATACATTCAGGGTACAAACCAAGACTAAAAGTGTACAACATCTTGCTCAGAGTTTTCTTGAAGAAAGGCCTGTTAAGACTTGCGGATAGAGTTCTAGTGGCAATGGATGATTCGGGTATGGGAAGGAATCGAGAAACATATGAGATCCTTCTTGATTATTATGCTCATGCTGGGCGGTTGGAAGATACCTGGTCAGTTATCGGTGAGATGAAGCGAGAGGGATTTCAACTGAATTCATTTGTGTACAGCAAGGTTATTGGACTTTATAGGGACAATGGGATGTGGAAGAAAGCAATGGGCATTGTGGAAGAGATAAGGGAGATGGGGGTTTCACTTGACAAGAGGATCTATAATAGCATCATCAACATGTATGGGAAATGTGGCGAGTTAGGAGAAGCCTTACAAGTGTTCGAGAAAATGCAGCAAGAAGGCATTAAACCTGACATAACAACGTGGAATTCTTTGATCCAGTGGCATTGCAAGTCTGGGGATCTTGTGAATGCTATTGAGTTATTTACTAAGATGCAAGAACAAGGGCTGTATCCTGATCCAAAAATCTTCATTATCATTATTAGACGTCTGGGGGAGCAAGGAAAATGGGACATAATAAAGAAGAATTTTGAGAATATGAAAGACAGAGGGCATCAAAGAAGTGGAGCCATTTATGCAGTTCTGGTTGATATTTATGGGCAGTATGGAAGATTTCAGGACGCAGAAGAGTGCATAAATGCTTTAAAGTTGGAAGGCGTTCATCTCTCAACTAACATATTCTGCCTGCTGGCAAATGCTTACGCTCAACAGGTGTGTTCTCCATTTTGTTTGTAGTATTGACTTCTACTAGTCTATGTATCTAATTTCTAAACCTTAATTTTTTTTGTTTCTTGATATTGCATCACGGCATACAATTTACTAGGTAGCACACAAATCAACATTGGAAGGCAACATGATTTAGATATTAATTTGTATATATAGAAATCCATTTTATAAGATAAATATATAATGTTGATTAATTTTCTAAATTTCTGTGCTGAGAATTGCATAATGTGTAAGAATGAAGCTTGACACATATCGTATACATTATTACATTATATATAGTACCACTTTCTTGCTATTTTTTCTCTTAAAATTATAATCGTCTCCTGTATTAAAAAGGTTTGTGGCATGCTTGACTTGTGATGGTCATGTGTACCAGATCAAATTTCCATAAGAAAATTGAGGTTGTCTGTTTCAAGTTAGCACTAATCTTGTTTCTAGGAGTGTTGGACATGGCTCCTATTAAGTTATGTCTAAACTACATAAAGCATGGGTTGGGCAGTGTCCCGGATGTATGGATCCAAGTGTCCAAAATATCTAAATCTATCTTCAAATTTTGGACATGTCTACAAGGTGTTAGACACATGTTGTTGTCTGACATGTGTCTAACACAGGTATGGTGCCTTCTGCCATGCTTCTCTGATGATTTATGTTGGCTTCGCAAATCTTGAAGCCTCATTCCCTTTGAAATTTGCGATCTTTGAATTGTTTCCCATAAGGCTTTTGCATCTGGGTTCGTAGTTGAAATATGTTCAGGAAGGGATATAGTTTATTTAACATTTTTTAATTCTGTTACGAGAAGAAGACAGGACCCCATTGCTAAAACCAATCTCACTAGAAATAGTCCTGGTCGAGTTCTTCGTTAAAGTATATATATACTTGAGATAGAGGGAGAGAGTAGCACTGAGAAAACAGAATGCGGAGTTATGTGCTCAGCTCCAGTCACAGAAATCATGGAAACAATTGTATGGTCCAGTAGCTATAGTTAAAGGGGGATAAATTAGTGGCATAGAACCTTTGGTGCCTTGGAATTCATAATGGAAGACATTAAAAGTAGATTTTTTAATTTATTTTATGTCTGTTTTTAGCATGCATGTGGAGCTGTCCTTGGCTCCTGTATAGTCATAGGTCATATTCTCAGAGGAACCTGGAACCTCAGTTCCTGAGAAATTCCCTATTTGGTGAAACATTTTGACCATGGACCTTGGTTCAGACTGTAAGAGGTGATCTGGGAGTTAAGGAAGGTCTCGAGCTTAAATCTCTCTAATTAAAACAAAAGGAAAAGAAAAGAGTCCTCTATTTACGGTATGTTTGTCTAAGCTGTTTAGATTCTCCAAACCTTGTATAGAATTCTGGATTATCTGTATTTTTTAATAAAATGTTTTCTTTGTGTGTGACAAGTTAGTGTATGATGATGTACATATATGATCAGCAAAATATTTTGCGAGTAATTTTTTTGCTTGTATTGCTCGTGTAATACTGTAAACAGTGGATGATCTTTCTATTTGATAACACAATGAGGACTTTCTCCTGCATGCTTTTTTAATGTAAACTTCTTTGACAGGGATTATGCGAACAGACAGTAAGGGTTCTTCAGCTCATGGAAGCTGAAGGGATTGAACCAAATCTTATAATGCTGAATGTGTTGATCAATGCATTTGGTATTTGTGGAAGGCATTTGGAGGCACTATCAGTTTATAACCATATAAAAGAAAGTGTAGGACCATCGATTTCTCCATCTAATTCATTACTGAGATATTCAACTCAATTTTCTACTGATAATGGTCTCATTATTTCTCAAGGGTATAAGCCCTGACTTGGTTACCTACAGCACGCTTATGAAGGCATTTATTCGCGCAAGGAAGTTTGACCAGGTCTGCTAAATCTTGTTCTGAATTATGAAGCTAATTATCATCAACAAACTTCATATGTTATGAAACTATCACTCACACTCAATCAAGTTAAATATATGATCTCTTCTATGCTTTTTTAGAATTTTTCAGTAGGATTTTTCAGGAAGACTGGTAAAGAAATGAATTTAGAATTTAATACGTGTTGAAATTCGGCTAGTTTTGTTCAACATCTCACCAAGCAAATGTTGCGCAAATCTCCGAATTATATTTCATGGATTGGCTATATTATTGGCTGTGTTTAAGAGTCAGATCTACTAGATCCCGAACCACAGGACACTGACGCAGGTGGATGATCAAAGTATCCAATTTATCTTCTTTTATATTTCAGGGCAGAAGGATTTCTTAAACTAAAATAGTATTTCTAACAAAGTTAATTCACTCATATTTAATTATACATGCAGCCAAATATCAAACTAAAAAGCGTCTGAGAAATTTAATAGTGAACCAGGAGAAACTCCCTCATGCACTATTGGTCGTGCTTCCATATAACATTAAAAAAAAAAAAATTCCTTTAGCTAATCCTTTTGACTGGGTTGCTGGCCAGGTCCCTATAGTATACAAGGAAATGGAATCTGCTGGATGCACACCAGATAGGAAGGCTAGAGAGATGATGCAAACAGCACTAATGGTCCTTGAACGGAGACGCTGAGCATTTGATTGGGTCTGGGCTTGAGGTTATTTTTCCATTGTGTGCAATAGATTGTAGATGTAATCATAATCCAGAGGCTTCTCCATAAGCATGATCCTTTCGTGAATCCGTGGTAATATTACCAAAGCTCAGGTAAGGCTTTACCTTGACCTCCTCATGATAATTGGACTATCATTTATGTGTTCTGCTTGCAATATGTGCTTTTCTGTTTCATTGTAGTCTTTATACGTTCTCACCCAGTTAGCTTTATACTTTAAATTTTCAGTGTTCTCCTCTTTTAGTAGTTTCTGATGGTTATTTTGATGTTGCTGCTTCTTGTGATGCCTCAGAGATGGTGGAGACACTTTGGCCCTTGATATGATTATAATTCTTAACATTGGAGGTCAAGATGAGTGGTAGTGCTGCAGGGATTTTATTATAATCTTTGTTTAACATGCCCGGTGAATATGGTTTTTGGAAAGTTCAGGCTTTGGCTCACCGGTCAGGGTTCCAGTTATATTCAATGCTCAGCATAAACAATATTTTGGTATTAAATTTCCTTCTCAACATTACAACATTTTTCGTATGTGCATCATTTGATATTCATTTCCATAATTTTTTTTTATAAACTAATCCAATTGAAATCTGTATGGTGCTTTTATTATTATTATGTCTTCTGAATTTTCATAACACCGTTGTACCTAATAATTTTATAAATATGCCTTATCCAAAATATTGTTGGTAAGTCAAATTTCCTAGTTAGAAGTGAAGCCTGCAGCCAGCATTGAAAATACCAATGTTATGAAATCCTCTGTCATTGTCTGACTCTCATTTTTTCCTTCTTTCTCGTAGTCCATCCAATACATGTTGGACCTTCGGCAAGATGCATGCTTCTTCCATGTCAGGTTCTCTTCCATGTTGGCATTCTTAAGTTTTAAATATTGCAACTGTGTATACTATCTTTAGCTCTTAGACAAAGGCTAATCTGTTTTGAATAATCAAACTTTCAGGAATTTGATGCTGCGGCTGAAAGAATGATGAATGACGAGAAGAAATGGACTTGGTCGCTCTTCCCAAGTTGATACATGTTAAGCATGCTATGTTCCCAGCACTTCAATTCTACTACTCAATGGTACTAAGAATTGTGGCATGTAGATGAGAGAAATGAGGATTTTGAGAGAAGAATTTGATTTATCAACTTGTGTTTGGACAGCATATCTTGAAGTTGAATAATTTCAATGAAACAAAAACAAGACTGGAGTTGTCTCAATTATGATTTTCCATTTCCACAATTGCAGAACTGCTGATGGAGCTGCAATTTCTTATTTTTGCATCATAGATTCATAGCCGTCTCTCAACTTGTTTTGATTTGATAAATCCTACAAGAAAAATCATATTTTGGCCAAAAACCATCTGTTCCATTTGTTGTCATTTCCATTTTTATTGAATTTAAAACTTGAGGTTAAGCCTTTGATCATAAAAGCTTGTGTTGAAAGTAGGGGTGCATACGGTTCGGTTTGGACCGTTTTAAGAGTTTTTTTGGAACCAAATCAATTCTAACATATTCATAAAATTTGGAACCAAATCGAATTATTTGACCAAATGAACCAAACCAAATCAAATCGTGAAAACCAGTTCGGTTCGGTTTGGTTTAACGGTTCTTTTTTTATTTCTTTATTGTTACAAAAGTATTCATATTATCCACATGCACAAAAATAAACCAAGTTAACAATATATTCAGAACTATTAATATATTCAGAACTTTTAATTCATTCTTCTCTATCTTCTACAACCGAAGTAAATAAATTCAGTATTGATAATAACCTTAATACATTTAGAATTATTAATTCAACAACAAACAATTAGTCACAACTCAATTCAGCCACTAAAAAAAAAAAATATCTAATAAATTGATAAAACCTAAGATAATTAAGAGTGTACCATATAATTGATAGTTATTACAAACTGTGATTTGGATTGTAGGATTATATTATATTATATATACTCTATAATTTAATAAATATATATATATATATATATATATATATATATATATATATAACATAACTGTTAGGTCTAATTCGGTCTTATAAGACCTCAAACCGTGATCAAATTATATTTTTATTGATTCACAAATTTAGAATGGTGACCAAATTAAATCATTATCAAACCAAACTGTCCGGTCGGATTTGACCTGGTTTGAATTTTCGGTTTGACCACATTTCTGTGCACCCCACCCCTAATCGAAAGGCATGGTGGATCTTGATGTAGAAAGGCATGCTTTAAATTCAAGGTGAGATATTTTGACCTCAAAACTTTTCCTCTTAGCTGCCACAAACTGATGTCAGAGTTGTATCAGAGATTTTGTCCGTTAATGCAAGTAATCAGAAAAACTTATTTTTTTCGTGATTTCTTTCTGAACGGTGGATTCTCGAATACACTTACCGATCGAAAAAGTTTTTGACGGTTTCAAAATAGCCCATAAACAATTGCGGAGGCAAGTGGACGCTAAGAATATACCCGCCAATATGCCCAATCAATTCTACGACTCTGATGTCTTAAACATGAAGTGAAGAATCCCTGCACTTTAGAAATATTTTTAATTTATTTTTGCTTGGCCAAGGAACACCCTCATCCCTCACCTCTCCCAAAGGGAATGAAAGCTTATACACTTCCAAAAGCTACCAAACACTACATCCTTCAAACTCACACTCAGTCAACTTAAATTTAACTTTTACAAAAGAAAGGAATACATTCTTCGTCGTCAGGAACGAGAATCAGCGAAGTCTTTTTGCAGTAAAGCATAACAATAACATAGTATTCGTCGATATATACTTGAGTTTTACAAAACAAGACTCTTTTTGCAGTAAACATAAAGATAACATAATATTCGTCAATTCTTGCAAAACCAGATAAACATAATAGGAGTATTACAAAACAAGCTTCCTTACTACTATGGGCATAAAAGCGTGCAGCATTTATCTGAATACACTCGGATATTTAACTATATACTAATACTACCAATATGCCACACTATATTATAGCAGTTCTGTTCTTCAACTGTCCTTTATTCTTCTTCTATGTATATCTATATTAGAGGACAGTCCAGCTTACTTTCTTTGCTTCAAGGATGGGTGGGCTTCTCCAAATCCTCCAGGGGACGGAAGAACGCCTTCTGCTCCAGCACTGAATCCCCAGCACCATCCACAGGTGACGAGTGGAATCCACGCTCTCCCCCTGAGAGGTTTTGCTCAGATGCCGGGCCAAATACCCCAGTTTTTGGATCTGGAGCCCAGTACTTCTCGGATTCAGGCTGGATTATCTCATCCGGGACCACTGTCGGAGGAACCTGCTCATCCGGGTTCTTATCATACGAGGAGGCGTGCAAAGCCCTACTGCACACGTAAAAAAAGGTCATGAGCATGAGAAAACATTATGTCGGTATCAAATCTGCCATTGACAATAGCAGGACCAAGAAAAAAAATCACATAGGGACCCGTGATTGGCATTTGCGTGCCCACAAAAACAAGGTTACATGGGTAATTTACAATTTCCTATTATCCTCCCACTACACCTTTCATATATGAACATACCTTCATATGTTAACAGATAAACACTGCCGCACACACTCTACTTGTCCCCTTCAGAAACCGTGTGGGGTCAAAAAATTATCCCAAAAAGGCACGTGTCTGGATTTTGGGAAACCCAAATAAAACTAATGGTAGTTGCGTAGCATGAGGGGGAGGTTTCATTCAATCCCCAGATGCGAGTAATCACGTGATCGCCACGTTATTTAATCAGACAAGGATAATAAGAATATGCTACCGACCAAACAAACTTTATTCCATAAATAATAAAAGGTAATGCTTTACCTACACCTTCAACCACAAACAAAACTGATGTTAGAACGACCATCATTACCTACCTTGAAAGAAAAATAAGAATTAAACTACAAGGAAGCAATCTCAGATCCATTGTCTACCCTAGACTTGTCAAAAGAGTATATGGTGTAGATCACAACTGATAAATAATTGTTGACCTTAAAAGAACATATTCAAGAGAGAAATCATAGATAGAGCCTTCAAACACATAGGCCGAATTATACTAAAAGGAGGCAATCTCAGATCCATTGTCTACCCTAGACTTGTCGAAAGAGTATATGGTGTAGATCACAACCAATAAATAATTGTTGACCTTAAAAAACATATTCAAAAGTGTAATCATGAGGTCTCCAAACACATATTCGAATGGGGAGTGGAAGGGGATGAAGCTTTAAATGACTCAACCGTGTGGATAGCTAATCCATAATGAAGACGATCAATCATGTAATAGAGTCCCCATATGCTAGAAGGATTGAACCTACCCGCTAAAGCTAAGCACTACACAAAATTGAGCTTCAAAATAGGGCAAGGTGCTGGGCACGCTGGCTAAAGGGTGGTCAGGGATAATCTTAAGTTTCACACTGTCAAAAAGAAAATCTAAGCCTCAACACTCCGCGAGTCGGCATGAATTAAAAGATCACGAGGACTGATTCATTAAAACCCCTAAATCATTTGTTCTACAACAATAACACATGAAGCCCCAACTTACATGTCATGACCTGCCCACAAATATGAGAAGGAATAGGTTAAAACAAGCATGTAATCATATCCAACTTTTCCACTTTGATCATTTGCCATAAATTGTTTTTTCAATTGATACAAATAATAATGTGATTGATAACTACGGAATACCTGAGGGATGAACATAAAGTAATGCTGAAAATGAACTTACTACAATGAGTAATTATAGCAAAACATTTGTCATTTAGAGACATGAATATACAACCAACTCATCCTTCTTTTTCCTGTTTTCAGATCCTCTTCTTAAGCAAAAAAGGCTCACCAACATGGTCTTCTTCCAGCAAAACAATCCATTAACTGGGGCAGGTGAAGGAGGAAAAGGTAGATCATATCCATCTCATAAGATCAGAACTGTTTGTTTCACGTGTGCCTGTTTGACCTTGTTCTACTCAGGAATGTCCCGATCAATCATACGAAAATCCCACTCCAAATAGAGTTTGATCCTTCCCAATGCGTCTTAGCCAAAGCCCGAAGCTCATGCCAAGGAATTGGGAACAAGCTTTTCAACAAATCGAAAAGAGCAAATGACCCAAGCTCCGTGGGTCGCTGTACTATAAAGAAAGCCTGCCAACCCTACAAGAACAAGAAAGCTCAGTCCAGTCGACTGTCAGTCGATATTCTTGGTAAAAGATTGACAGCTTTTATCTCTATGGAGCTTGAAAATGACTTGTATTTGACCCTCGTAAAAGGTCTCGGAGTTGGTGTCAAGTGGATAGGTCTTACCAAACATCAGATCCTGGCTTATGAAACCTTAGTTGGGCGCAGGGAGACCAATTCAGAGTTTATTTCGAACCTCTTTATATCCATTAGAGGGACGTTTTTCAATAAGAAAAACGACCGAGGAAAGAGTGCACGGGGCAAACCATTGCAGAGGGAGCAAAATCCTCTTCACAGGAAATGGGCATAGAAAACAAGAAGGAAAGAATAACTTCATCTTGACTCCTATTTTGGTCCAACCGACAGAGGGATCCGTTAGTAATTCTGTTACCATTCATGCTTTTAACCCTGGTGGGGATAGCATGTACAGAGCCTCTAACAAGGCTTCCAATCTATTCACTGGTATGCGGTCCATCACCTGAGTGAGGTAGACGATGCGATCACTGGTTTGTTGAGATGACATATCAATACACCAAGAAAATGCCTCAATGTGTTTTGGGTAAATTGTCGAATAGCTTTGGCAAAATAAGTTCCATATCCGAAAGCCAAAGCATTTCATAAGCATCCTTACTAGCTAAAAGACAACCAGCATTTTTTGTTGCTTTAGAAAGGAAAACATCCACAAGATTATTCACAAGGTGAGCCAAATACCTCACCATATGACCCAAAAGTCATTCATCGCCAAGAGGAGCCCCATATCCAATGGGGCGGAGTGGGTACACATATGATTGCACACAAGTGTGTGCACCGTGAGCCGTCTGATGACGCAGGGATGATACAAAATAACCAGAAAGATCAAACCTAACGGGCCAAAAAATTAATAAAAATTGAACTCATTTTTTTAATTACAAAAATGCCCCTCCACCCGCTAATACCGGTTTGAGGAGGTGAATTTGTCCTTGTTCACACCGCACGAATTCTTTAGTTGCAGAATACCGATAAACACACCAATATTTAAGCCGGCGAAAGGGAAATTAATTAAAAATTGAAAATGATAAATCGGATATGTATTTTCTGGAAGCTAGAATTTAAATAATTAATAACATCATTAACATAACACTCTTATCCATTAGATGTTTTCCACTGTTTATTTCTTAAAACATACTTCTCGAAGAAATGTTAAACTTACACAAGTACTTAACGGATTAGCAATACAAAAACACACTTAAAAAAAAAAATTTAACTCGATCTGTGAAGTTTTTCATACAATAACACGAAGATCTTGCAAAATCGTGTCCATAAAGTGCTATATAAACTCAAATAACACACTGATTTCAAAAAAAAAATTAAGGATCGTAGTAATTAAACCACTAAGATGAAGAAAAATCACGAAACCACGCATAAACTTCGGTTGAGAGATCATATACCTGAGAGTGAGCGAAGGAGACTGAGTTTGATAACGAGAGCTTCCAGCTCGGATCTCGTTAACGAATCGCTTCCCCAGACTCGCGACACCACGAATCTGTGAATTCGCTGCCATACAAATACAGTGTCGATATAGAGAGAGAAAGTAGAGAGAGAGTAGTAGTATTAGTAGTTAGAGAGAAGATGGTAGTTGAGTTTTTGTCTATCCAATTGTCCACTAAACCCATATATTTATATTAAAAATATGATGGTCTCTGGCCCTCCTAATTCTTCTCTCTTGCTTTGTCCGCACCTACCCTACCATGTCCAAACTAGTACCGATTCCGTCAAATACGGACCGTCCTCATCGCCGTTAACTAACGGAATCTTATGCTCCACTAATTTTTCTATATATTTTTTTAAATGGTAACGCCGTGAGTTTCGTCATTCCAGATTCTGACAACCGAATTGCGAACGTCCACGTTGAAAGAAACACTGTATTCCTTTATCCCTTTTATCGTCTAGTCGAAGGTTAGTTTGGGTCGTTTAAAGAAGCGCATGACTAGCAGGAAATGACCGCTGTGTCCTTTCACCGATTGAGATAGTATAGAGTGAGTGCGCCTTCATTTTGGCTGCCGTGTGCTCTTTATGAACTACGTTTGTGAATATATTATTTATGAACAAATTTAAATGATTTTGATTTTGAAAGCGAACACAAATTAAGTTTAAATTACTTTTATTACTAAACGAGTCAATTCCAAATTCGGTATGATTGAACAATAGAGACTATAAACAGATTCAAATCTTCAAACTTAGTTAAAAAGCACCACTCTAAAGATTGTATAAAAAATAGGTAGTGATCAGTCAAATTCCAACTCTATTGGATATAAAAACTAATTGATTTTCAATTTGAGTACGAGCAATACTATATTAAGTTTGCAACTCTAAATCGGAATTTAATTTTATAATAATTAAAAGCAACCTAGGTGTATTTTTGAAAGAGACGCACATGACTATAGTATTCCATGCCGATGTGTCTCCTCAATTAAATATAATATTAGCTCGAGCTTTGTGTGGCATAGTGGAGAGGCGTCGTAATCTAGTAATCCAAGAGGGAAAGATATTATCTTTCCGAAAAGGCGATAAGAAGTCCCTCGAAAATATTATCCTTCCTGTTCCAAAAATATAAAAAAATGTCTCTTTTACGGGAGCCTATTATTTCATCATTTACCATCACCATCACCATCACCGCCCAACTAAGAATTTGGATTCACTAAATTAAATATTCTTTAAATTATCTTAAATTAACTAATTTAAAGAAAGTCTGAAAATTCGTCCTTAATTAAGAAAAATTCTGGTTCTCTCTCTCCTCTTGCTCATTCTTACAATTGGGAGAATATTTCGCACCAAAAATGAATGTTATTTGTCATGGAATTAAGAAGACGAAAATGTAATTACAAGACATGTAATAATGATTGGAAAAGAATATATAAATACACAAACATAAATATTGATGGAGTTAAAAAAATACAACCAAAAGCCCTATATTCAGAAATTTTCACTTCTAAGTTGATCAGTATATATATATATATATAAACACGTGTGTGTGTATATTATATATCAATAATATTCTCATAATAGATTATGTTATTTCTTTCTTTTTTTAATTGTCTTTTAGTTATATATATACTGTATATAGATTCATAATAGAGAAATAAAATGATTGGATTGACAAAGATTTGATGATATATAAAATGGTTGGATTATCACAAATTTGATGATATATAAAGGAATATATATATAGAAAATTTAAAATAAAAAAAAAATCTAAGAGTTTATATATATATATAGGAAAATAATTTGCACCGAGGAATTGTTAGACTTATTACTCTTTTAATTGGTCTTAGATAATTCACTGCAATTGTTCGGTGTGAATATTCTGAAGAGAAAAAAGTGTTAAAAGGATATTTTTGTGCTATAAATTTATATTTTTAATGTCCCATAATAGGAGGAAAAATTCAATTAATTAACCAATTAAAAGCGCAACCATGCAAGGACAGTGGCTTGTACGACTACACTTCAACGATTGCCTATGTATATATTATTGTTTATCTTGAATTAGGTACTTGTTTATTTGTCAATTTATTTGACTACTTTGTATGTTTTAGAAGTATTTATTTTTTTAATATAGGAAATATCTTAATGTATTCATATATATATATAGACACACACGCCATCCAAGTGAGGGGAGACGGGAGAGAAAAAAAAGTGTTAAAAGGGCACTTTTGTCCTATAAATTTATATTTTTAATGTCCCATAATAGCAGGAGAAATTTAATTAATTAACCAATTAAAAGTGTAACTGTGTAAGGACAGCTGTCCGACTTCACTTCAATGATTGCTCTATATATATATATATATATATATAGAGGACTAATTATTTTTAACGCAAAATGTTATACTTCGCAAATTTTGACTTGCGATTTTATTTTGAATTTGGTAGCTGTTTATTTGTCAACTTATTTAGCTATTTTGTATGTTTTAAAAAGTAATTTTTTTTTTTTTTTTTTTTTTTAAAATATAGGAAATAGAGAAAACCTTAATATAATTTAATAACTTGAATTAAATTTTGACCCTCTTCGTTTGAGAGACCATTTATATTAAATATTCAAATAATTAAAAGTAGAAACTGCAATTTTACTATGAATGAGTAATCTCTTTTTCGTGAATAAGTATCATAATTTACCTAATTGCCACTTTTCCCCGAACCTCATCAAACCCTTCCGTAGAGAAACCCGCAGAAAAACATGATCTCCCACCTCAAAAGATAGCGGTCGTCTCTGCCTATCTACATTCTCTTCTTGTCAAAATTTAACATTCCCAATTTAAAGAGAATCCAAAAATTGAATATACTCCTCCATTCATTAATAAATAAATAAATATACTCTTCTTCAAAATCTAAGAAGATGTGGAAACCCCTATTTGACCATATACACATGTACAACATCTATAATATTAATTCAAGAGAGAAAAAAAGGGATAAAAATCAATAATGTTTCATCATGTTTAATAAATAAGCCTCACTTAAACCTTTTTATAATTATATTTTAATTTGGCATTTCTTATTATGATTAAATTTTAATGAAATACTTAACAAAGATATAGAGTAATTGAAAAATATAGAGAGTGCATAAGATAATATATATATATACACCTCCTATATATATAATAAAAATTATTAAAAATAGAGAAAAACAAATTAGAGATAGAGAGAAACCTAGTGTAATTCGATTAGTTTATTAAAAGGGATATACAACGGCATAAAAGAATAAACTGTAATATGTATTAAAATAAAGGACATTAATGTTTATTTAGTTATGACCATATCAGATTCAAGATCACATCTCAAATTTTAATTCGAGATGTACCAACCATTGTTTTTATGACCATATCAGATTCAAGATCACATCACAAATTTTAATTCGAGATGTGTAGCACTGCTCATTTTTAGGTACAACCATTGTTTTATACTTTTTATGTAAAAATATATCTGTTCATAACAACTAACCATTGTTTTTATGACCATATCAGATTCAAGATCACATCTCAAATTTTAATTCGAGATGTGTAGCATTGCTCATTTTTAGGTACAACCATTGTTTTATACTTTATATATATATATATATATATATATATATATATATATATATATATATGTTAATAACAACCAACCATTGTTTTATACTTTCTGTGTAAAAATATATCTGTCAATAACAACCAATCACGTGTCATGTCCAAAAACCGACATATCTTTTACAAACCTACTTAACATGTGGTTAATTCGTTAATTGAATGAGAAAGAGGTTGAAGAGAGAAAATATATTGATGTAGCTGTATAAAAAGGTCATGCAAAATACACAATAACTTTACATATTGATGATGTAACAATGTATCTTAACATACTGCTCTAAATAAAAATAAAAATTACACATTGTCCATATTTTACACAAATGAACCTTTTAACACATTACTCGAGGTGCTCTAAATATGAGTAAATAAGCTATTTTCAAGTCAAATTTTCAAAATGAGATGATAAACTTTCATTTTAATAAAATGTACTCTTTATTTAATCTCTTTCTTAATAAAGGGGCTAAATACTCATGATACTTAATTTTTCTATTTATAAGTTAGGGAAGTACACTTATGTAATTTCATTTTTCCAGATTTAGTGTATGTGGTTAAAAGGGCCTACATCGTCCATTTTAAAAGGGTAAAATACATTGATCTTCCTTGAAATTTAGACAAATTACACACAGATAAACCATTCAATGTTTGTTACTTTGATCTTTCTTAAACTCGTTTGCTAGTCGAAAAGTGATTTTGAGTGTAATACCCTTACATTATAATAATATATTATTTTACAATTTATACAAGGGAAAGCAAATATTGTTATTTTATAAAATTTGGTCAATAGCACAAGAAGAATGTTAAGGACAGTTGCTTAACATTTCACAATCGTTCTCCTTGTTGGTTATTTTAAGTCTCATTAATTACTCTTTCTCTATTTTCAAGGAACATGAAAAATATAACCTACTTTGAAACAAAACTAACTTTTTAAAGACAAAACTACCCTTTAAATCATTTTTCATTACATTTCTTGTATCTCCTTCTGATACCCCCTAATTTTGAAATACGGGTTGATCAAGTCCGCGTACAAAATTAGAGAATATCAAAACAATTAAAGTATCTAAACAAACACATATTACAAAAAGAATTAAAAAGAATAAATGACTCGCTGAAGAAAACTAATAAATAATAATTCCATTAAATAATAATTCTCCAAATGTTACAACTCGGGAATCCTATAATTTAAGGACTCCTTAATCAACATACACTATCTAGAAATCCATAAATAAAACTCAAGTCAAAATAATAATATCCTACTTTGACATAAATAAAAGTAGATGATAAATAAGCCTCCTAAACTGCGGATCCTCAACCTTGAGACTTGAACCTCTAATACCTGAAAGATAAAAATAAGTGGGTCAAACTTACGAGCAAGTTCTCTCTACCAAGCCTCTGAAAACCAATAAGTAGATCATCTCTAATTAAAACCAAGCCTAATAAAGTTTTAATTTTAATAAACAATAATACAGTTAATACACTTGTATATAAATAATTATATATAATACACTAACTACATCTATTACTAGGTTCATTAATTTTCAAAACCCATAAACAA